GGCCAACTTTGCAGGACACGGTCGCCACCGCGAGGTCGAACCGGTGGCCCAGGATCTCGCTCATGACGGAGCGCGCGCCCATTACGAGCTGATCGGCCCACGCCGGGAGAGCCGTCTGCGGAGCCCGGATGATGTCATCCGACCAGCCGCTGGGGCCGACGGCTCCGGTGGGGCGGATGCAGAGAAAGGCGTCGCCTGGAGTAAAGCAGACGGTGTCAATTTGCGGCATGATCAAGCGCTGATAGTTCAGCGCTTGCATGCTTCGACGGATGTGGGCAATTTTGGGCAAGAGCCAGCCTTGGAAACACGAGTGGGTGCATCAAGAACGGGCATCAGGCATGGTGGCGACAATGTCTTGATGACTAGAGCTGCTCGCTCCGTGGAAGTACGGCTTTAAGCTGAAGGGGATTCCCGACAAATAACCGAAACCAGTACGGCCCTCCAATAGGCTCTCCCAGACAATCATGCATCGCAAAGGTCGTCAGCAGATCGAAGGCCACTGCCAAACCACGATTACGCTAATGCGTTGTTGGCTAGTTCTCTGCATGGAAATCGGCTCGGCCTATGCACGCTCGGCCCTTACGCTGCACTCAGGATGTATTCTCGACCGAAGCCTTTCATCAAGACCATCTGAGCAACTGCCCGTCGCAGATTGACAGCGTTCAAGATCCACCACGGAACCACTCACTTGCGGACAGTCCCTTCGACGTCCCGTCCGCAGCTCGTTGGAATGCGGACGCCAGATCGTCGGCTGCTCGGTTATTCGCGAGGGTGAAGAAGTCGTCTCTTCCGGGGTCCGGCCCCTGGTCTTGGGACCGGCTGAAGACGTCCAGCGAAACGCCGGACGCGTTTCGAACGAGGAGCAGCGGGGAGGCGTTCACGACGAGGCCCACCTAAGCAAAGCGAAACCCCATGATCGGGATCGTGACGTGATCAAAAGATGGAGGTTCGAGGGAGCTGTCGGACTAAGCAAAGGAATAGGCGGTGAGAGAAGAGGAGAATAACGGAAGAAGCAAGTATTCCGCAAAAAATGGGACTACGAAGATCGCAAAGTTGCCAGCTGGCAAGTAAATTGGGACCACTGACGATCATGGGCTGTGCAAAGGTGTGATAGGGACGGAGAGGCGACAAGCCTTTTGCCTGCAACCATTATGCTCCCTTTCTGGTCAGTCCGAGCACTCTGCAAGCATGAAAAAAGGCGACCAGAAGCTGAGCTTGTCCAGCCGCAGGTCGCCACAGCCCTCGCCTCACCTGGCTCTGCGTAGACATGTCTATCACCACCTGCGCTTCGCCCACCGGCTCCCCCCTCCGATTCCGGTCATTCCGCCCGGTCAGCTTCAGGTTTACCAGACGGGCATCGGACTCCGTGAACGGAAACCCGAACGGAGCGGAACTTAGACCATGCGGGGCATCCCGCAACTGTAGGACTAGACCCGAGCTTGCAAGGGCCGGGCGGGGGTCGCGGCGGGACGCAATGTGCCTAGGCGGAAAACACGGTGGTCGACCTTTTAGACGAGCGACAAAGACGCGAGAAGGAGCTGTTGCCAAGCTGCCACGTATGCTTCAGGGGGTGGGGCTATGATGCGGAGGAAAGGTGCCATGCAATGCTGATCTAAGCTTTCTCAATAGCAGTGAATTTGCGAAGCCTATCTAAAGGTCCGTCAGGTATCGTCAGGAACCGGACTCCGGATCTCGATCGGTCTCCTAGCGTTCCCAACCCCCTCATTCCTCATTCCTGCAATGGCAATCACTGATTAAAAATCACCTCGATATGTTACAACCAACATTTCTAGATTTGTTGCACATGTAGAAACTTTCCGTCTGGATGGCTGAAGTCTGCATCGCTGCGGAAACGAAAAACAAGCAGCGCTGCAACCCAGGAACTTAAGGACTCTTTACGCTGAGGTAAGGCTATGTAAAAATTCCGTCATGCCCGGGAGACGGGTGATATTGGTTTGGGGGATTGGGGTGGGTATGAGTACGTTAACCTCAGGTTGGTTTGTTTGAGCCTGGGGCACTAATTGAAGTCGAAAGAGGCCTAAGTCAAGATAGATTCGCGACATCGATTCTCACCGTATGAGAAAGGATTCCCCTTCGAAGGAGCGCACCACACCGTCGCTCCGCGCTGCCTCTCCCTCCTCGTCATTGAACCGGCACATGAGGTCAACGCCGGTTTTATTTTCCACCCGGCACTGGTTCGCCTGAGTCGGGGAGTACTTAACCACGTAGGGTCCCGCTAACCCGAGGGCGCCCACCAGGAAGAGTAGCGTGTCCATGGCAACTTGGTTAAGCTCAAAGTCAACCCGGTCTCGGATGAAGAGGAAAACGTTGGTGGGCACTTTAGGGAAGGGAAAGGGGAGCGGCTTCTGAGGGCGGTCCGGTGGGCGATCCGCAGAGTCCCCAGATCGGCCTCTGCAGAAACATTTACAGGATGAATGGTCAGGTCTGGGTGTAAGATCCGCCCAGAGACATGATCTGAAGGGAGGTACTGACATCTCAACATTCTCATGGGCTTATCGAAACGGAGCCGGAGGTTACCCATCAGAATAGCATCCTCACCTGTAGCTTTCTTTGAAGTTCTTTTAAGTTCTCAAGGAAAGCATCGCATGGACTCAGTCGCTTCCGACTTTCGCAGCCAGTGGTCAGCATTGCTTGGTCCCGATGGCTTTCAAACCAAAAATCGCAGAATTGAAGGACAGGAAGAGAACTGGCAGCTAGAATGACACTTCACTAGCAAAAGATGCACACCTGTACGACACGTCCAGCGCCAGATTCGTCACCATCGGCCCCCACTGGCTCCTCTGAGACTCGAAGTACTCCGCTGACGTCACCAGCTCAGCATAGGCCCGGGACTTTCTCGTGCCCGACGTCACTATGGCCCCGATGTCGTCAGCACTGAGGCGCAGCAACGGCAGGATGTGGGCCCCTCCCGCTGCCTCGTGGAGGATCGTCGCCTTCAGGCCCCCTGCCACTGAGACCTTGACATGTGGCACGCTCGTCAGCGCCACCGCAACATTCTCCACATGTTGCAAAGGCAACTCCAGTGGCGTCTCGATCGGCTGACGCGTGCTCTCGGTGGGGATGACGTCACGTTGTCCCTGGACGACCCCAGCCCCGGTGTTTGAGCCAGCTTCGACGTCTAGACCCTCGGTTAAGGGCACGGTTAAGACCTTAAGCTTGACTGGGTTCCCCAGCTTACTCGTGAACACAGGCGCCCCCTCCAAAAACGCCAACCCCTTGCCCGCCTTCTTGTTGACCATGTGGATCCGCGGCCGCGTTTTACGAGCGGAGCCGCCTTCGCCTTCGGCCCCGTCGAATGCGTCCCCACTGGTTCCGTACTGGGAGCCTTCGACGGCCTGGAGTCGGAAGAGCTCCCAGGAGCCGTCGTTGGTGGTGCTGATTCCGGCCTGGTTGGTCTTCGGGGAGAAGTGGAGGCGGAACGGCTCGCCGGAAGTTGGGTGTCGGGCGTAGAGCGAGAGCAAGGAGAACCACGCCTGGTCCTTGTTGCCACTGCCACGCTTCGAGTGGCGCTTGACCTGAACGAATAAGCAATTTCCATTCCCCTTCCGTTCTTTGCTGTTTCCTGACAGCTCTTTTTACGAGCTCTCTGCGTTGACATTTATGGCGTGGTTGGTGTTTGGAAAGAGCATTGGAAGATAACGACTCCCTAAGAGGCGAATTTGTTCATGCTCGATGCCTCTTTAAAAGCTACCACAGCTGCTCTTGTTGAGTTAGTGAACATGCGTCGATACACCTGAGCAGTCTGATTGCGGGTCCCTGGCAGAACGAAATATTGAAGTCGAACCTTTTCCGAGACAAAGTCAATTTCATCCGACCAACAAGATCGTCTGGAAGAACAAACCTCGCAGGGAGACACCAAACACGTTTCAGTAGGGCCCTGTCAGGGCTCCCTCATCATGTGCACCCCCTGCTTGCCCTGCTCGCCTCACCTTGAACAGGGCCCGCCCCTCCCCGGTCACTGTGTCTGCGAGCGTGTAGTGCCGCTTGCCGACCACTCGGAAGTGCTCCGGATTGGACGGGAGTGGCTCCACGGACACGAACAGCTGCTCCTGCTCGTCCTTGATCGCCACAATAGCGCCTGCAGTTGCAAGGGGGCGTTGTCAGACTGTACCACATTTGTGTTGAGAAGCGGGAGGTTTTGCAGCCATCTGTCTCCAGAGCACGATGTGATTGCTGGCTCTCTTTGGTTTGAAAGTGATCTGCGTCTAGCACTTGAAGCAAGGAAACCGCTGATGAGTCAAGATTGAAGAGACGACTCGTGCTTTGTTTGAAAAGCTGCATCTCAATCCGCTTGGAAAGCTCGAAACACGTCTCCTCTCGTATCTTCATGTGCTGTTGTCTTGCAGTGCGTCCTGCATGGGAGTTTCAGAAGGCGAGAACCGAGATGGAACCTTCGACAGAGCATCTTTCCAGACGTCTCCAACAAAAACCGGTGCGAGTATCTGATTCTTACCATCGGGAATATCCACCAAGTCTTGCAATGCAAGCTCCTCAGCGTCCTTCCCAGCAACCGCCAACCCGACTTCCTTGCGCATCTTCTTATCTACAGCAGCAGTAGTGCCTGTCGCATACAACGCCGTGTAAAGCGGAGTCGCAATCGAGATCAGAAGCTGCAGCTCGCTGGTCGTCACTGCCACGTCAGCGCCGCTGACGTGGCACTCCCCCTCCCAGGCCCCGCTCTGCGCCCTGACGGCTTCTATGAGTCTGTCTAAGTGCTTGCTCTCGTTGGCATCGAGCGTCTCCAGGGCCTTCGGATTGAGAACTGAGGTTTCTGCCCGCGGTGGGGGGAGGAGTCCACCGCTTCTGGTACCCCCCCAAGAGAAAGAATCGTCCGAAACACCGTCCGACTTCTCCGACGGCACGCTTCGGACCTTCGCCCCCAACCTTAAGCACTCCAGTATCAGCCGGCCTCCGCGTAGAGCAGGCGAAAGCTCATCCTCGCTTGGGCGACCTTGCTCTCGGAACCCCCTGGTTACGGTTGCCCCGAAATGCTCCCGAGAGGAGGTTTTGGCGGACTCGTGCTCAGCTTCTTTGAAGAGGGCGGCGGAACTAGATTCGCCAGAAACACGGGTGCCCACTTCTTGAGGCGGGGGGATGACGCCCAGAAGGGCGACCCGGGAAAGGTCAAGGCGGGCTGAGAGGTCGCCGTTCTCAGTAGTGACTGAGGCGGTGGTGTCGAGCTCCATCAGAACAGCACCCGCAGGAGCTGCAAAAAGGAGGGCATTAACAATAGCTTTTTTGAGGATCTTCGGAAGCATTCGTACTTCCGGAATAGAAGACTTCACGATTTAGAAATGAACCATGTGGCTGTATAGAGGATCGAACACCTAGATTGAGCCTATGAAGTGCAGAAATATGACCACGACGAAGTGAATGCTTTGTGGGTTTCACAAGAAGTTGACTGACAAACAACCCAAACAAACTTGAGCTGCTTTGCTACTGTTAAGGGGACTATCGGATTTGTAGAAGCTTAGTAAGTATCTACATAGGGTGACGCATCGACAATACCTATGATTGGACATCAGAATTGTCCATAAAAGACTGTTGATTCGGATCGTTCACGCACATAGAAAGCATAAACTGACTGCGAGGTTAGCTTGACGAGCACATTGACACTGCGTTCTGAAAGAAAGGCAGCAGCAAATACCCACCTAGATCCACGGCGATCGACCTGAGCAGGCCCGTTGTCACCCCTTTCACCGAGACCGTAACCTTGATATCTAGCCCAGCAACTCCGCTCGTTCCTCCCGCGGATGGTGCTTCTAGCGTCCCGTTCCCGAGACCTCCCCCTGATTCAGTACGCTCTTTCCCCTGCTTCCGCTCCGAAAATGCAGCGCTCTTTGATTCGGGTCCTATCTCCTCGACTTCTCCCCCGCTCTCTCCGTACGGCTGCTCTTCGCCAGCTGTCTCCACATCTGCCCACCGGACCGTTTTGCCGCTCTGACTTAGGCTGGTCCCTCTCGATCTCGACCTGTTAATCACCGTCTCCGGCCCCTCTTCCAACGAGCGCTTCACGCCCGCCCTGCTCATATCTGCGGACGCTTCAAATGGGTCCGCGCCCGGTTGCTGGCCGTCCGAAGTCACGCTCCGGCTGTTTGAAGAGGTGGCTCCTTTTCCAGACGCAGAGTCTCCTCTTTGTGGGCGTTCCGGAGTCCCTCCCCCTTCGGACAGCCCCGCGCTTACGCTGACACTGAGAGCCGTTGCAAAGTCCGTCAGGAAAGCGTAGGCCCGCGCGAGAGCCCCAGAGTCGACCAGAAACAGGCCGCCCGTCGAATGCAGCGAGACTGCTTGCAGCCCTTCGGCGATTTCGACGGCGAGCGTCAGGCTCTCCGGCCCCGTCATGGCCTGCTTCACGTGCCGCGTCACCGTGAGCCCCGCTTCCCCAGACTCCAAGAACGTCAGACTGCCCACCTGGAGCGCCGCTGAGATCAGGTTCGCGGGGGGGGATATTTCCTGGTCCGTCAACAACCCCCTGTTCTCGGAATTGTCATCAAATAGGGTGGAAGTATCCTCCCCCTCTAGTTCCCTCACCCCTCTCCTCAGAACCTCCCCCAAAGATGCCTCGAACCCGCACCGGCCAAGTGTCAGTTGGCTGCGCTCGCCGCCAAAACCGGGTTTGCCGTCGGTTAGGGCCGTAACCCCCCAGCCTTCGTCCTGGGCCTTCGCCCCGACCTCCATCCGCACAGCCCCCAGACCCCCTGCCACGTCAGCCTGGCAGTCCTTCCCGCTGAGGTGTACGCTCAACCACGCTCCCTCGAGCGCCACGTGTGCAGGGACGCCCTCCAGCCGCTGCCGCGCCTGGGTTTGGGCTAACTCCGGGCGCGGGTCCCGCTGACCCCGATTCTCAGCCGCTTGTCTCCTCAGGTTAGTAATCGTTCTCGTCGCGTGTGCCCACCTTCCGTGCGCTCTGCTTTTTCCCGAAGGGCTCTGGGGTCCTGCTTCGCCAGTCTTCTCTTCGCCCTCCCTTCTGACGTCACCGCTTCCTTTTCCCCTGCCCAAACCCCCTTCAGAGCCCCGTTCAGCCTCCTGTTTACCCCCTTCGCTTAGATTGGCCTTCAGTTTTGCGGCGTGCACGTAGGCAGCAAGCGAGAATAACTCGACCTGGTTCGCTTTTGCAAGGCTTGGAATGGGGACCTGCTCAACGACCACTTCTGCTGCAGTATCTGCAGTATATTTCAAGCCTTCCCCAAGCACGTCGCCGACCCCTGGGCTCGGGGCTTCCTGGGTTAGCGCTCCGGTTTTAGGCGAAAGTTCCGCCACCAACTTTTCCACCCCCCGCATCAGCTGCGATGCTACCCCCACAGCCCGTGCCACGGCGTCCGGCAACGGGTCAACGGCCAGTTCCGCTAACCTTAACCCAAGCACCACCGACGCCGCGGTTCCTCCTCCAAACAACGACGTCCCGACCTCCTTCAACAGCGAGGCACTTACTTCAACCCCCGCCGGTTCCACCAGCCACGTGGCCCCGAAGTCCTCCATCCCCCCCTCCCGACGGGCTAGTTTCGACATGCTAACATCAGCAACGGCAGCGGAGGCCGCTGACAGAGTCAGCCGAGCGCTGTTCCAGATTCTGAACCGCTGGGAGTATCGGCCCCCCACGACGTCGCGGGGAAGAGATGGGTGCCGGTCCCAGGCCTCCAACTCGAGTGCGGAGATCTCCCAGAGACCCCCAGACGGGTTGATTGCATCATCCTTTTTCTCGGGAGGGGGCGCTCTGAGGCCTTGTCCCGGGGGCGTGCGCCCACTTGCCGACACTTGCGATGCGCGCCGGCGTCGCTCCTGCTGGTGCAGGGCCGGGGAGACTGGCCATAGGGACAGCGCCAGCTGTCCAGCGTCCGCAATGATTGATTCGGACGCCGAAGGTGCGTCCGGAGCACCCCCAGTGAGGATCAACCGGGGTAGGTCGACGACTGCCGACACGTCTAGGCGGATGCTCGGTGCGGCCGCGCAGATGCTTGGTCCAAGCAACGTGAAGACGGACGCTATCGAGGAGGTTAGGACGTCCGAGGGACTGTTCGGCCGCTGCACTTCGGGAACGCCTCTCGTGTCTTTCCCCGACTGTCCTGGTTCAGTCCCCCGATCGGGCTTGCTTTTGTCGATTGCCGTCGCACCGCTTGGCGTCGAAAGCAGATCCAAAGAGGCCGCAAGATCCCGCAGCTCGGACAAGATCGGTCCAACTCGGTCCAAGACGTCCAGACCCACAAAGAGGCTCAACCGACCAACAGACGCCCCACATGTCACCGCCGCCGCTTCATCGTCTCCGGGGTTCATAAACCCACTCGTGTTAACCTCTACAGCCGCGACTGCAAACGGCCGGTTAGCCGCTAACCGCGCGCGCCAGCGCTCGCGCCGCTCCCTGCGGCGCTCTGCGGCGGCCTGCTCTTCACGGGAGGGGCCCTGTTTTGTCGCAAGGGAGCTGGTTTGTGAGCTGAAAGAGGGGAGCCGCGCCAGGGACGGGGCCCGGGCTAGATGCGAGAAGGGGCGGTTGAAGAACTGGCTTAGGAAAGAAGGTTTGCGGGCGTGGGATGTGGATTCGACAGGGGCCGTTTGAGAACCCGAGGCTTCGTGGGCGTCGGAAGGAAGGGATGGTTGAGTGAATAACGAGCGGCTTCCTGGGTCGTTCGTGCCGAGGAGACGAGACTTGAGGCTCAAACCTCCGCCTGTGACGAAAAAACGGCAGAGTCGAACACCTAGAATGCCTACATAGGCTTAACGAGGGTGATCGATTGACACTGGAACAAGGGAGGGTGGCAAGGACGTACATGGTAATCATCTTGATATCAATCTGCTGTTCCTCCGAGAAATGACTTAAGAGTGCTTCCAAGCGATCAGTCACGTCACGAATCGAGCGTAGGCACTTCTTCGAGAACCATTGGACGGCTTGTTCAAGGTCCAAAATCTAATGTGTATGGTCTGATGTAATCAGCACGAAGCTTCGTTCCTGATACAATACATGAGGGACAGCATTTGAGAGTCACCTAGCGCTTTTCGGGAACTCCAGCAGCCAGCTTAAGCAACCTGTCCAAATCTATACCAATCAAAAGCACGTGACGTCTTTCTTCCTCAATGTATCAACACCAACCGCCCAGAAAGTCAAGAACAACTACTAGCCGTGAACCGCGAGCCTTCTCAAGCACACTTCATTCATCGTGAATCCACTCACCCACACTTCCTGCTGGAGCTCGCCTGGCCCGCCCCAGCCCCCGGTTGCAGAACGCCCCCATCCCGAGCAGCTTCGATGACGCTTTCGGGTGCCCCGTCTTCCACTCGGGTGCAAAGCCCGACACAAACAGGGGGGTATTGCCCCCGGACCCTTCCACCAACCGTGGTTTATCGTCGAACGTTGCATCCCGCTCTGTGACCTCGTCAACTTCGACGCCTTCGCTGCGCTGCCGCTCGAGCCCAAAGATGCTCCGCAGGAAGCCCCCGGAAGGAGTCGACTCTAACCGGGGTGGCTCAGAGAGCGAGTCGGCTCGACCGAGCTGGATCGCCGTGGAATAGGAAAGCACGGAGATGCAGTTGCAGTCGACGCTGCCGAGAGTCACTCTTGCCAGATACACCGCGCCGCCGCCTTCTCCTCCGCTTTGCGTTGCCGACAGCGAGAGGCGGCTCCACGTCAGCCGGACCGCCTGCCCCTCGGGAGCCTCGCCCTCCTGCTGACGTGGCGCTGACGTCATTCGAGACGAGCTGAACGTCACGCTGCCCGCCCCAATGTGGAACGACGCCGTGAGCGCCAGCTGAGCGGGCGCCCCAGCTGGCGCTTGTTCGTCGCCCTTGGCTGAGGTTATCTCCGCCGGTGTGACATCATCGTCGACCGCCCAGGGGTCCGCCTCGGGCCGCGCCTGCATGACGTGGGTGGCCGACACAAAGCCGTTGTACGGGCTCACAACGATCGTCCAGAGCGTGTTCAACAGGCCCCACAGCACCGCGTACAGCACTTTCGCAATTGCCTTGGCAGACTTGTAATACTTCGTCTCCCAAAACCACCAATCTTCCCCTTCTTTCTGCACCCCGCTGGCCCCTCGAGAAAGGCTCAGGAAGGCCCCCTTTGCGTCTTCCCCGTTCTGCCCCTGAATCTGCGCTCGCGCGATCTTGCGCGCAACTACGATTGCTTCAATCGGGAGGGATCCCTCTGTGGTCTGTAGAGAGTCGTGCAACCGGGCCTTGAGCCGCTGCACCTCGCGCGGCTGGCGCTTCTCCGCTTGTTGACGCGCCAGTTGCGCGGGAGCGTCCTCGCCCCATCCGATCGCGCGCAGCCACTCGGCATAAAGGGCGACGTACCTGTGATATGCGGACCGAGAGTTGACGTCAGGCAGGAGCTTTGCCATTATTAGCAAGCATTGCGGGGGCAGGAGGCCTTTCGAAAGAGGGTAGGATGCTTAGTGGACAAAGAAAGTCCAGCTCTATTGGCAGTGATGTGCAACAGTAACAACACAGAAAGCCAACCCTGTTGGATACTTGATGACGTGTCTTGCTCGCAATGTAAACATACAAAACAAAGGAAGGCTTGGAAACTTCCCTTCAACGTCAAATACCAGGTCGACTCGACATGTTTTGTCGATCGATGGCGGGGAAAAGTCGCAGAGGTTGAAATTTCCCCCCAAGTGTAAAGCAGCACAACACGTAAAATCGCACACAGGACAGCCAACTTCAATCTTCTCGAACGGGCTGTTTCTCGAGACTTCTGCTCTATCTCGATTGAAAAGCACGAAGCCAGCATTCGCAAGTAATCTTTGTGCGCACCTCCTCCTGGCAGCCCCGGCCTCAAGCACACCGTGCAGTCGCGTGCTGTGGCTCTGCTCCCTGATCAATCGAAAGGCCTTCTGCCACCGCAGTGCCGCCTCCGACAGGCCGCCTTCCCCCTCCTCCGAACGCCCCTCTTTGCTCCCTCCCTCTGAGTCCTGCGCTGGTGTTTGCTCTGAGCGCCCTTTTCCATGAGACTTTCCTTCAGCTTCACCTGGCTTCCCCTCTGTACTCCCCCTATTCGTGGCAGCCTCGCGAGTCCCCTCCGAACCTTCCAACGAGCTTTGACCAGCACTCACTTTTGCAGGGGGGCTGAGAGCCGCCGCCAAGTGCGCGAGCGCAGCCAAGTCTTGGACGTCCAACTCCATGGCCATCGTCCGAGCGTCCACCTGAACCCTGTCCAACCCCAGCTTGTTGATTCTGAGCACCGTGTCGATCTCGTTCGGGAGCAGAATGCTCCTCCGACTAACACTAGCAACCCGCAGCGGGGTAGCCCCCTTTTCCTCGCCGCTTGCCAAACCCTCCCCACTTTTGATGCTACTCTCTGGGGACGAAAGCCCACCCAGAGAGACAACCGTTGTCTCAGTGTCACTGTCAATGGTCTGCTCGCTCTCGCCCGGCTTAGCTCTGCTCAACCCCTTGCTATTATCACTCATCTCCGCTTCCCCCTCTCCCCGCCCCTCGCTTGTCTCGAGTCTAATTGCCAGCCCTCCCAACTGCGTGTGTTTGCTCACAGACCCCTTGTCGGCGCCTCCTGATCCGAAAACAGCCGTCCAGGCCGCCCCGAGAAGCCCACCC